AAAGGACCGCCTGAGACCATTGGTATCAGTTCTTGCTCTAAAGGAATTCTATCCCAACAGACTTACAACTTTTGGAGCCCTGCCCATTCCCTTACCTGGTGTTAAGGGCTAGAGTGGGAAGTGAGAATCTGACCCAGCGCATTCAGATGGCTGGACATGGAGACTGTAAAAAGCCATGGAGGCAAGAGGCAGCTAAAAAAAATTCAGTTCATATCAGTGTTTTTTCTCAGTTTATTGGAATCTTGCATTTACAACCATTCAACCAACAATGGAAAAATCAACCCATTCACAGTAACTGCAGTTACAAACTGTTCTTAAGTCATGAGAGTATCCTCCAAATGATCATGTGCTAGTTTGTAACAAAGGTACAGCCTTGCCTAGAGCACAGACTCACAATGTATTTTAGTGCAATTCTAGTATATGGCTCTTTTACTGATAGCCACAATCATTTATGCCAAATCCACACTGGACCATTTATTTACTCTCTCAGCATAACACATACTATTCTGTATATAGCTTAGGGTGGCTGATAGGGTTTATTTTATGGCGGATTTCCCTTCCATCAGTGATCTTGTGGCTATGTCATATCACTGGGAGTCATGCAGCTTCAATTCTATTCTGACTTCATCACAGGCATCTTGTCACATTACTTAACCTTATTCCAGTTTCACCTTCTGTAAAATAAGGCCGATAACACTGCCTTATTTTCCAATAATGTTTTGAAGCTTAATTCATTAATGCATGTAAAATATTGTGAGATGGTCACAAGAAAAGTGCATGGTTCTTTTTATTTTTGTATCGTGTGTATTTTGTATCCTCTTTTGAAACTCACTGCCTTATATTCTCAGGTTGTTTTTTCCCCCTTTTTCTCTTAATAGCATCATAACCTAATGCAAACTAAATGTGGTATTGCTTTGGTTTAAATTTTTAAGTTTAGCAATAGGCTTCATAGGGCCACCCTTCAGAGTAAGAGTCAGTGGAATCAAATAGAAATTTCCATTGAAAATCAGGGGCCTGATCTTGAAATGTGCCCAGCACTACCTGACAGCTACCTCAATTCCCACTGAAAACAGCAGAGGTTAAAGTCCTCTAATCTAAACTATCACTCTGCCTGTGCAGGATACATTTTACAGTACATTTTTAGTGTTTACTTTTTAAAACACCCAAGATTCCAAACTCCTAAGATTCCTCTTGTCAGATTAGTCCACAAAATGCTTTTCCTACCATTTAAAACTTAGTTTTATTTTAACTTAACCCAAAGAAAAATGTTTACCACTTACCTTATTTTTATTGAAACAAGAATATATGTCTAAATACATTTGAAAATTATACAAAACAGGAGGCACACAAATCCACACAGATATTCTAAAAACATAACACAGAACCTAATCCTGAACACACTTCATGGGTTCAGGAAGATGCTCACAAAGGACACTGTAAAAACCAATTAGGTATAAATTCTTGTGGTTAATTTCTTTTGTTCAGACATTCTTTTTATATTCTGCTCTGTTTCAGATCAGCAAACATCTGTGCTAAGTTGTGAGGGAAGTGGAACTGAAGTCATTCAAATATATCCCCTCAGGAACTGTTACTCTGTACTGAGTACATCTGAGCATAGAGGAATAAAAATAAAGACTGACACCCAGCAATATCTTCTTCATCAGGTCAAAACCCACGCCCAAAACACATCGACATTTAACATGAACAAAATAAATTTAACCCGAGTAATTAATACCTGTGGTGTGAGCCAAATTTATTGGTGGAGCAGATTAGGAATAATTGGCAAAGCAAGATCAATAACAGCTTTGTAAAGGATTTTCCTGAGGTAATTTCATGGTGCAGTAGAACTATGGCATATTTTGGAGTATTGCACAGGTTATATGGAGTTCTTTTAACACACTGAGGAACAGAGGGGATAACAAACAGTGCTAAGGAATTACTAGTGGAAGAAGTTACCTAATTTTCTAAGTTTTTTCCTCAAGTTCTCCCCTCCAGTCAAGTCAGAGATTAAAGATGTCCTCATCACTGTAATGGCACACAGACACATTCACAGGAGTTCTTATCCTGGCTCTTAAGGAGTTCTGCCAGGGCCAGTAAGGCTTCCCTAATCCCTTTGCCATTGTGAGCACTGCACCCTCTCAACTCCCAACTTCTGTCACCGAACTGTTCCAGATTCAGCATCTTCTGCAGCTCTGAGAGTGAGAGGGACCCTGGCAGCTCCTGCTTGTTGGCCAGAACCAAGACTGGAACCCCAATCATGTTTATGTTGTTCAGAACTTTCTCCAATTCGGCCATTGCCTCTGGCAGCCGGGTTTTGTCGGCACTATCCAGCACAAAGATGAGAGCATCCGTGTCCTCGAGATAATCCTTCCAACTAGCACGCAGCTTATCTTGACCTCCTACATCCCAGAGACTCAAGGATAGATGACCAGGGGTTTCCAGGGATGCCACATTGAAGCCCACTGTCGGGGAAGTCTTCACAGGTTCATTGCTCTTCAATTTAGACAAGATGGTAGATTTACCAGAAAAATCCAATCCCATCATCACCACCCGGGCATCTCTTTTGTACCAAGCCTTGGAGCTCAAGGTCCCCATTGTGCTGCTGCTGAAATCTTGTTGAAAAAGTAAAAATTAAAAATTACTCCTTTTCAAAAAGAAACATTCTTACTTCATTTAATAATGGCACTGTCTAGTAGAAGGACTAAGGAGTGTGTGAGAGAGAACACTTTGGATTCATGTGTAATATTTGCTGCAGAAAGAAACAATCAGCTTCTATGCTTTACTTTGTAGCTAAAACAAGGTGACTGATATTATTTATGAGAGCAAATAAATGTAAAATAACAAATGGCTGCTGTGTTCCTGCTTTGCTGTCTCTAAATTCCATATTCATCTGAAAATCAAAACTGCAAAGGGTTGAGGGAAACAGACCTTTTAGAGAGAGATGAAGTCCCAGTGTAGTTTTCTCCTCATGTTACACAGAAATAAAACTGATGTTTTGTTCAGGAGCCTCTCCAGGGGAAATCCAGCCCCATCTGAGGAAATTGAACTGTTGCAAAGCAAGCATCACTTGTGATAAGTGCTGAATCAGAGACTGGTAAGTCATCACTTTCGAGAACAGCAAGAGAGACCATGAAAAGGCTTCTTAGCCACTCTTAGTTAAAGAAAAATAGTCTTTCCTAACAGTGGCTTTCCCCAGCTGCTGAGCAGACAACAGAAATGAAGATTTAATGAAATGTATGAATTATATTTTAAATTGCTCATTGAAATGCAGCCAGTAATAATCAAAAGATGAAAAGACTAAAGTGCTTTACAGTGAACCTCAAATAAATGAAATATGGGTCAGTCTTCTATAGCAACAGCAAATACTTTTATCATCCTTCAACAAAAATAGTATTGTTTAGCTAGACAGCCACAACCTGAGAGTTGTACATACCAGTGAGGTGGTTGGATGAATAGGAGATTTTGTGCCACTTGAATATCTTGCTGTCACTCAGACAAGATCAGCTCTTTTCAGCCTAGCAGTTGTGCAGTGCGCCAGCAAAACAGATCCTTACCAAACTGTGGCAGGACTTGCACACTAGCAGTCTGGTCAGATACACACAGAGCAATGCAAGCCATGCAGGATGTAAATCTCTGGACCCAATGTTATGAGAGATTTGTGTTTCTAACCAATTTACCTAAATGTAGAGAAAGAGACCCGCAGGAATTTGATTGACAAACAGGGCTCTTCCACATTCCTGTGGAAGTTGCAAATATCATCTGATATTCTCCAACTAAAGGATCCACATTACAAGTCACAGTTTTTCTGAGCAGTCAGGCTGGATGATTTTCATTGTAGCCTGGAAGTGACTCCTTGATCAGCTGTGGAGGTCACGAGTGAACAATGATAGGCATGTGCCCCCACTGGGGCTGCACGTTTTGTCTTTGCAGCATGCTCAGCCTCTGGTGGTCTGATGATTAGGGCACTGATTCTCAAAGGTACTTAAGTCTTGCTTCACTCAGGTAGTCACCCCTGAGCAGCTTACTGCCTAGTGGAGTCCTCAGCCTCAAGCAAGGTGCCCAGGCAACCCATACAATGCACGGGGAGAGTTAAGTGCCGAAGAAATGGATCCTCAGAAGCTGGCAAACTGGGGAGCTGCCTAAGCTAACCAGGTCTGAAATGGAGAGAAGAGTGGCTTAGGCACCTACGTAACTGATTTGGCATGTCTGGCTGATGAACCTCCTTCTGCTCAGGATCCTCATCCATGAGCCCATTTCTAGAATGAAGCATGGTGAGTCACTCAGGTAACCCTGTCCTAGGTGCCAGAACAGTCTTTGTCTCGCTCACATGCAATATCTCTCTCACACTTGCCCAATGTTTTTGTGTGGTCACTACTGTCTTTTGTGTGCTGTCTTTTGTGCTGTGCCTCACCTAACTGTGGCCTGCATCCAGCCCTCCTGCCGCTAATGTTACCCCGGGGGAATTTTCTGTCACTGCGCATGTGCAGAATTAATGGACCCTGCAGACCCTTTTTCTCTGCAGAAAAAACATTGGAGAGGCATTGCTATTGCACTGTTCACCCACTAGGGGATGCGGTATGGCTCCAGAACAGAGGGTGGTCGCCTCAGCATAGCAACCAGCAGGGAGGAAGAAAGGCTGCATTCCTTACAGAGCCTTGTCTGTGGGGTCAGGCGAAGAGGCACAGGATATGGGGGGGAGACAAATTGCTGTGGCACATGGCTGCTGGGGGGGATCACATACACTGGGGTTCAAAAGGGCTAGTAGGGAGACAGACTGGGGTGGGGAGCTGAAGGAGTATTGGGGGTTGAGGGAGACTGGGGAGCTGAGGGGCAGAGCCATAGTGATAGCAGCTGAATGGAGGGTCAGGGACAGATGGGGGAAGAGTGGTATGGGGTATCTGAGTGGGGATGCAGGGACACATGAAGATGGGGAGGGATGCCTGGCGGTAGAGGGAGGAGAGTGCAGGGGCCCATGGGGAGGAAGGGTGACTGAGTGGGGGTGCAGGATATCACGGAGGAGTGGAGAGTCTCTGGTTCCTGCACCCCCATTCGCAGCCAGTTGTGACTCAGTCATCGAGTAGAACAGAAGGTTTATTCGCTCACAGGGATACAGCCAGGGGCGGCCCGTCCATATAGGCGAACTAGGCGGTCACCTAGGGCGCCAAGTTAAATGGGGCGCCATGGGGTGCCAAATGGTGGCACAATATCTTTGAGGGGTTTGGGAGGGGGCGCCGATTGCATGGTTCACCTAGGGCGCCAGTTGCTGGCAGCTAGTCTAGGGCCGCTCCTGGACAGCGTAGCACAGACTTGTTGACACAGGAACCAAGAAGAGCCAGTAAAATCCATCCTGGGGAGAGGGGGGCCCAGAGCTTGGGCCTCCTCCCTGCATCCTAAGAATTCACACACTCAGCAACTGGTTCTAGCCTGCAAGTAGCCCTGCCTCTTCCTTTGTCCCCTTCCTGGATAAAAAGGTGTCACCTGATGTCACACAGTTGCTCCCCCATCTAGGCTCAGATTACAGGAGAGACTGAACTATTAGGCTATGTCTACACTGGCGCGATCTTGCACCAGAGCTATGCAAATAAGGCTAAGCGTGGAATATCGCCGAGCCTCATTTGCATATCTAATGAGCTGCTATTTTTGTGGAAGAGGCTCTTGCGCAAGAAGGAGCTGTCTACACTGCCCCTTCTTGCGCAAGAAAAACCCTATTACGCAATGCAGTTATGCCTGAAAATAATCAGCATAACAGCATTGCGCAAGAGGGTTTTTCTTGCGCAAAAAGGGGCAGTGTAGACAGCTCCTTCTAGTGCAAGACCCTCTTCTGCAAAAATGGCAGCTCATTAGATATACAAATGAGGCTCAGCAATATTCCACGTTTAGACTCATTTGCATAACGCTGGCGCAAGATCGTGCCAGTGTAGACATAGCCTTATTGTGTATGTGCTGAGCTGGGCAGCCTCCCCCTCAGTGACAGTTATACCCAAAACTCTCATCTAGGGAAACTGAGGCACACACAGAGGCTATGTCTAAGTAGACGTGACGAAGTCTAGATTGGCACGGACGCTTTTCCACAAAAGCACTTTTTGTGGAAAAGCGTCCGTGCCAATCTAGACTTCGTCACACCGGGATTCATAGGGATGGGGCAGATTTGACTGACTTGAATGGGAGAGGCCAGGGGTCAGCCAGGGTCTGCATGGTGGAGGTTCCCAACTCCCAAGCAATCTGTTCTTCCCCAAAACCCCTATTTCATGTTTTCACACCCAATAGCCCTCTATGTTCACTTGCAGGCTCCTTCCCAACACTTGCTTCCCTCTCCCTCAGCTCTTCCATTGCACCTGACTTTCCCGAGCCTTTGCACTGCTTCTGAGGGGTGCAAGAAATGCCTTTCTGTTTTGTAGTTTACTCAGTGTTCTGTATTGATATGCCTAGTAAGGAATCTATTTATCTTAAACATTCCCTGGATCTTTTTTGTTCTCTGCATTGTTACAGACATATTGCTGACAGGTATTTTGAAATAAATTACCAAAATAATTGAAACTGGTGTAATTATGGTGTATTATTTTGACAAAATATGCAGAATTTTAAAGTATTGCATATGAAATTTTTAATGTTTTGGCACAAATTCCCTCAGGAGTGTTACGTATACCCAGAACACATCTGCTAGGTTGGGTACCACTGGTGAGATTGGCATTTCCCTGCTTGGTGGGAGAATCCTACATATGAGAGACCTCTGGGACTTCAGCTTGTGTGAGGGCTCAAGCTACTCATTAACTGTGGGGTGGCATCAGGGCTCAGGTGGCTTTGAAATGCTGAGTGGCAGAAACCGAGGCACTTTAGGGACTTTAGCACCTCTGGGATTAGCCAGCAGTCGAGTGACAGGTTTGAAAATGGGAGTGGCACCTCAGCCGGCAGATAGGCCCAGAGCATAACAGGCATCTAAGAGGCTAGGAATTAAATCTAGATGTGCTGGGCTGCAGAGGACTATAAAACCAATCAATAAATATTTTTTTAAATGTTAATGGATTTGGGATCCAGTTCTTAGTACTTAACATGCTCTTATTGTCGTGGGTAGCCGGTATGCTAGGCAGAGGAAGGCATTGCCTTCCCAAATTGACAGCCTGGTCCTTGTGGAGTGTTGCTGCCCCAGAGCATCCGCCCTCCCTCTGCTCTGGGGGTGGGGAGGCTCAGCCCATGTGCTGCCACCCTCCCCATGTTCCGGGACTGGGGAGGTTCAGGCTACGTGCCACCCACCCTCCCTGTGCTCCAGGGCCGGGGAGGCTTGGGCCATGTACCTTCCTCCCTCCCCATGATGGAGAGTATGTGGCCTAGGCAGAAAGGGCGGACTGGGGGGCGAGGCTGAGGCAGCGGCATGTGCTGTCAATGGAATGTTCAGAGCCGTACGCCCAGACCATTCATAGCCACTTTGTGTACGCGCGTGTGTGGCTCCGGTGAGACCCACAGCATTACCCTTCACTCTGATTTATGTCCCTGGCTCTGCGGGCGGGAAAGGGCATTGGATTAGAGCCAGGGGGCTGAGGTTGCCTGGCTCTGAGGGAGGGGTGGGGCACTGGGTTAGAGCAGGGAGGCTGGGGGTGCCTGGTTCTGGGGGATGGGATGGGCACTGGATTAGAGCAGCAGGCTGGGGGGGACCTGGCTCTAGAAGAGGGAAAGGGCATTGGGCTGGAGCAGGGTGGCTGGGGTGCCTGGCTCTGGAGGACAGGTAGGTGAATTGGGTTAGAGCAGGGAACTGGGTGTTAAAACTTCTGACTCCTTTCCTTTCCTGTATGTGGGCAGTGGGTCTGTTCATTAGATTTGGGGGTTCCAGTCTCTGCTTTGTGAGGACTGTTGGAGCTGGTGGTTGGTAGGGCGGGCAGGGGAAAGGAAGGATTCTGGGAAACAGGATTCCTGGGTTCCTTTTCTAGCCATGCCACTTCTCCCCTCGGTGTCTTTAACTTAGAACATAAGAACGGCCGTACTGGGTTAGACCAAAGGTCCATTTAGCCCAGTATCCTGTCTGCTGACAGTGGCCAGCACCAGGTGCCACTTCACATTGATTGTACTTATATTTCAGTAAATATCGTATTGGCAATTTTTGTTTGATTTGTTAAAATTGTGAAGCCAAAACAAAAAAGCAATCAATATAATGGTCTTCTGTTGATATGCATTTTAGTAGTTAAATTCCTGGATTGTCATTGCTTATTAAAAGTGCTGTCATATGGGTGGAAATTGGGTAAATATTGCATTTTATTAGTATCAGCAGAACTGACTTAAATGGGGCCTGCATGTTGTGTAGTCTAGCCTTAATCTTTGTATTCACGCCCGTCAGTGCAAAATAAGCTATTTGCATATATTTATGCATGTATATGCAACCACACTTACGCTGCAGCCCTCGGCATGTGCTGTGAATATCATTGTGGCTCCCCGGGGCTTTCAAAGTTGAGTTGCTCTGGTCTAGATCATCCGAAAGGTGTCCATCCACCCTGCTCTTAAATATCTCCAGGGATGCAGATTCCACAACCTCCCTAGACAATTAATTCCAGTGTTTAACCACCCTGACAATTAGGAATTTTTTCCTAATGTCCAACCTAAACCTAAATCAGAAATGTGTGTGCTACAGGAATGCATATTGTCTGAAATATGGAGAGAAATAAATCCAGAATAGCCAATGTAACGGGATATGGATGTAGGGGAGACACTATGCAAAATAATTTTGTATCAGAATTCTGCTCATGATATGACTTCTCTCCCAGCAGTAAATGCAGAGCACAGGATTTAACAGAACAGCAATGGGCTTTAGTCACAAAGTTCACATCTAGATCCAATCATCCCCTAATTCCAGGGAGTGGAGACATGGATCAAGTGTTGCCTCTTGTAGAGCCAGCTATCAGTTGTGCAAGTTTTGAACTGGATCCAGACTTCCTAAGGTCTGGAGATGTTAGTATCTTGGGGCAGAATCTGGCCTGAGAGAAGCTTTCCACGCTGAACACAGACAATTCTGTTGAATATCATCTCCTCCGGAAGCCTGTTGAACAAGAGGAAAAATGAATATAAAGTAAGTGGGTAGAGGGCTTGGCTATAAATTGCTTGTCACAATAATCTCAAGTGTCATTTCAACTGGACTGAGCTATATTTTGGTCTCTAAGATTCAGTGAGTATTTCCACTTTTAGGCAGTTTCTGGAAGATAATGGGAAGAAAGTGACAAAACAAACGTAAGAGTTGCAGCTATCTGCCCTGTCTAATGATATGTCCTCCCTTCTACTCATGTGTACACAACTGTAGTATTTGCAGTATCTAGCAAATGTGGGAGTGTTCATGAAACCAATTTCTACATTTGCATGTGCTGCTATTCATGCTGCAAGTAGGTGCACTTTCATCCAGTCGTAGCACAGAAACAATACAAGGATGTGTCTTGTCAATCACCCCCATATAATTAACACAACTCAGATATTAAAGGTATCATATTGAATAATCATAGCAAATTGTTCATAATAAAGCCATCAACTAGAACACTCCACTCTCTAGAAACCTCACTGAATAAAGTTGAGTAAATATCCCTTTGCAGGCAGGTACTTTGTAAGAACACTGGATAATTAAGGCAATGCTGAAGCTCACCTTTCTGCTGCACCTTCTTAGCTCTTTGTCCCTGGGCTATTGTTTGTTCTCCCCTTTCACCTCACAGCAACCACCTGTACACAAACCTGCCCTATCCGGGCTATTCCCCCTCCTTCTCTTTTTTCAAATCCTTTTTAAGGATCTGGGGGCATGGAAAGTGGGTCTGCAGGGCTCCAGGGATATGTCTAAACTACACCCCTCTGTCGGCAAAGGGATGTAAAGTTAGACACATTGAAAGTGCAAATGAAGCCGCGATTTAAATATCCCACGCTTCATTTGCATAATGGTAGCCACCGCTTTTTTTCTAAACGGGGCTTTTCAAACAAAATGGCAGTTTAGACAGGGCATTTTTGACATAAATGCCCCATTTTGAAAGATTGTGTACTCCTCAAAAAATGTACAGGATTTTACATTTAGAAGCCCCGTTTCGAAAAAAAGCGGTGGCCATCATTATGCAAATGAAACGCAGGATATGTAAATTCCCGTTTCATTTGCACTTTCAATGTGTCTAATTTACATCCCTCTGCCAACAGAGGGGTGTAGTTTAGACACAAACAGGTGACTAACGCTTCCATGCCATCATATGGCAGCCATAGCAGAGCCATAATTCATGCCCTATCAACATGGGAGCTAAGCACCACACAAAATGCCACACAGAGGAGACCCCATCACCATCACCCTCCATGACCACGGTGTTACCAGCAAAGGTGCACTAGTAAACTAAATTTAGTGTGGGGCCAAACAGATGGAAAATGCCTTTGTCCCAGAAGGTGGTCCGACCTGGAAATCACCAGCAGATTTCTCCAGGCCGAAATAAACACAGACACGAATGCCAAATTTAAAAGGTTTATTGAATACAACAGGTAACAACACAAAGAATAACCCCAGAATACAACACTGCATAAACCAATCCCTTACCCCAGAAGTAATAGAAGATAGCACAGTATAACAAGAAAAGCACTATACTCAGTGGCTGTGTCTACATTGGCACCCTTTTCCGTAAAAAGGATGCTAATGAGACACTTTGGAATTGCAAATGCCGCGGGGGATATTTAAATCCCCCGCGGCATTTGCATGAACATGGCGGCCGCTTATTGAAAGTAGGAATAAGGGATCTTCCGGAAAAGGACTTATTTTCCGCAAGATTCCGTCTAGACTGGTGCTTTTCTCCGGCAAAACCCCGAGCCGGAAAAAAGCGGCAGCCATGTTCACGCAAATGCCGCGGGGGATATTTAAATCCCCCGCGGCATTTGCAATTCCGAAGTGTCTCATTAGCATCCCTTTTATGGAAAAGGGGGCCAGTGTAGACCCAGCCAGTCTGTTCTAGGGGTAGATGACAACCGAGGCTCAGGCTCGCTGGCATAGGCAGCCTCAGGGAAGGAACACCGAGGAGTCCAATTGATGATTTGTTGCTGGTATGATGTTACACAAGCACTCGATGGTAAACAGTTCTCAGCTCCAAAATAGGGCCTTCGCCACAATGGTTGGAGTGGAACTGGGTGATAGGCAGCTGCTCTCGGTCCGGAGCTATAGGTAGCTGTAACCCACAACGCGCTGGGCAATTGCCACACTAGTGAGCTAATGCACCCTATAGGTAGCGGTGGAATGGAATCTGGTCTGGTCTGTTGGAAGCAGGTCCCAGCCTATGCCACAGCTCTTCTTCAACAGGAGCAGGAGCCAGGAACAGGAGGAGAGCGAGAGCGGAGCAGCAGGGTGGAACAGCAGAGAGCCCGATCCCTTCAGGGGAGGAGCTTTTAAAGATCCCAAGGCGGGAAAACAGCAGGAGCATCTCTAGTGCACAAGGTGTAGTGTTGGGTGCAGATTAGCGTTCCTGGTGCAGACTTTAGTGCCGTGTGCAGAGCAACAGTGCTGTGTGCACAGCCATGTGCTGTGTGCAGATGATGGCTTTCGGTGCCAAAAAGTCTTTGAGTCCTTTGGGTTCCATTTTGATTTCTGTGTAACACTCAGGACTCCATTTTGATTTTAGTGTCCTTTTGGTTGTAATGTCCTTGAGCTTAATATTCTAACTTACTGTCAACAACGGATTGGGTCCAGACATGCTATTTAAGCATGAAAGGCATTCCAAGAAGATGCTTGTGTAATCCCTGGCCGGTTGCTGCAATAGTTCTTGCTTTCATTCCCTGCTTTGGACTCCAGATCTGTTCTTTGGCTTTGATTTCTGGCTTGCCCCCTGACTTGGCCTTTGGCCTGATTTCTGATCCTCAACCAGACTCCTGTTGTCCGATCCCTCTCTGTGACCCCTGGTCCTACCCAGGGAGCACCCATATCCCAGTCATGACACCTTTCTCCCAGGGAATGCCACACATAATCTGTTGGGTGATCCCTGCCCTACCAGTGCTCAGAGTGAATGAACTATTCTTACGAGTCACTTTGCAGGAAGAGCAATGCACTTTGGAGCAGAGCACACTTTGATGTATAATGTAAAAAAGTAGTAGAGGAAGGGGGATCTGCAATGCTTAATTTGTGCCAGGGCTAAATCTCAGCACCTCCAGGTGTGTCAGTTCATAGCAGTGACACCTGTGGGTTTGCTGCATCAGTTATGAATATAAGAAACCTGCTTTAGCCCCAGCACCTCTTTCTTTACAAACTAAGCACTGGCGAGTTGGCATGTTGGAATAAAAAAGTTAAAACATACAAGGGAATGGACAAAAAGTCCCTAATAGAGATATACCAGCTCCAAGTGGATGCAATCAGAAGCAAAAACTTCCTATAAATAATACATAGTTACATGTCTGTTAAAAAGTAAATAATAAGCAGATGAGATCATCTCTTTGTGAGGCTAGACTCCAGTCAAAACAGACATCTATTTCTAGAAAAGAAAAGCTATACTATAATTAATTCAGAAATCCCATCATTGCAACATTCAACTTCTCCTATGAGGCAAAAAGCAATATTATTTTCTTGTTGAGCAGCCCAAGGTATATAAGAACAGAAATTGTGGTAGCTAATTTTGATTAAAAACCAAAGGGGAAAACCCCAAATATTTACATTTGATTTTAATATTATTTTAGTTTATAAAAGTGTGCTTATCCAGTGCTTAGGCTCACTGACATTCATTATAAAGAACAATAATTAAGCCCAATGTCTACAAACAGAACCCTGCCCACCTCCTCCAGATCTCATTGGGATCCTACCAAAAAACCTTGAGGAGACAAGTGGGGTTTGCAGTATGAAGTATGAGTCAACAGGTTTGTGCTTTGGAAAGCTGACAAGGGAAAACAAATGGCATACTTGAGGATTCCTCACTGAAAACATCTTGTTTCCTCTTCCCTCGGGATAAAACCATAAGCCCGCTAGCATGACTGCCTCAGTTGATCTCTGTTACAGTGCTGTCACACCAGGAGAGAGACCATCTGAGCTAGCCAAGACTGCGCCAAGAACTTCACTGGATGCCAGTGCTGACTGTGTTCCTGTCAAAAGCTTCCCAAAAAAATCAAGGCAGAAGCTTCCAAGTTGGTAATGTGTGACCCTTCCAGTTAGTGAGCTAATTTGCTAGAGATAAACAGTCCCTACAGCTCTCTTTCTCTTAATTCAAACATGCAGTGACATTTGCATCAAAGAAGAACATTAATGACACATGAAAGCTTAGTTTTACCGAGGCTGAAGCCAGCTGATAAATTTTAACATAAAGTGTGAGCAGACTTTCCTCCAACAACTCAGAATTTCTTCACAGATGATGGTATTTTGCCTTACATCAAAAAAGCTCTAATAATCAGACGGATGTGTTTCCCATAATATGATAAAACTGGAAAGCAACAAGATTTAAAATAAATAAAATTGATTTTTTTTAAAACTGTGGCATAGATGCAAAATATGAGATGTTACTGAGGGAGCAGTGGGGTAGATTGAAAGCACATTTGATATTTATGCTAAGAAGGATGACACCAATGTGCTATCTAGGCAAGACATTTACAAAGGATTCAGGCTGTATTATGTTGGTCTGTGGGCCTGGAAAAGAACCCCTGAATAAGGCACCACACAACTGGTTGATACATAGCTGGAGTCTGTTTTTTCTCTGAGGGTACGTCTACACTTACACTCTAGTTCGAACTAGGGATGCAAATGTAGGTGACCCGAAATTGCTAATGAAGCAGGGATTTAAATATCCCGCGCTTCATTAGCATGATCTCACGGGTGTGTTACTCCACTGAAAAGCTGTTTTGAAAGTGTAACTGCATGCCAGGACGCGTTAGTTCGAACCAAACCCCTTGGTTCGAACTAACGTAACTCCTCAAAAAATGAGGAGTAACATTAGTTTGAACCAAGGGGTTTGGTTTGAACTAACGCGTCCCAGTACGCAGTTACACTTTCAAAACAGCTGTTCAGTGGAGTAATGCGCCAACAAGATCATGCTAATGAAATCCCTGCTTCATTAGCAATTTCGGTTGCCTGCATTTGCATCCCTAGTTCGAACTAGGGTGCAAGTGTAGATGTACCCTGAAGAAACAAGTCTAGGCCAAGCCACTATTATTGAATGCAGGATTCTTAACTCTTGTTTTAAATTAGATTTTGAGTTCCATAAGCCAAAATCCATCCTATTTTGCTTATGTACAGCACCAGGCAAAATTACTCAGACTAGGAACTACTTATGCACAGGCACACATCTGGATCAGTGTAATACTGATGGGTCAACACAGTAAACACTTCTGCAACTACTCAGGCTGTGGAAAGTTGACATTCAAAAGTTTGGGGGTAACTTTATTAACGTACTATGAATTGGATTTTACTTGCACATACAGGATACTCTGGAGAAAATGCTGTCTATGACCCAGTTCAAAGGACATGGGAAGAAACATTGATTACAAAGAGACAAATAGGTCAGCACATTGGAATCAGAAAACTTGAGTCATACAAACAACCAAGGTTCTGATAAATAATAGTCACAACATTTGGATCCTAAACCGAATGTTCCCAATATTTAGGGATTTTGAATCTGGGTTTTGGTTTAGGTCCCGTCCATCCCTTCAGATTCTGTAATAATGTTTTAGTTTCTTTTTTACTATTTTAGTCTATCTGATCAGAGTGCTGTACAACAATAAAAAGGGCCTATGTAGAAAATTATCCATAGATAATGGAAATAGCCAATAAAATGAGACTGCCAACCCAATCTTTAATTCCTTCTTGTTCAATAAGATAGACGGAAGCAAACCAAACATGAGACTGGGTGTTAAGAAACTGCATTTCTTCTGTTTTACCACAGAGTGTCACCCTTATTCCACATATTTTTAAACGAGACACAATCTCTAAGGGGTAGGAAAACTGTACTTTAAAAGGAACCAGTTTCAAAGTTCTGTGATACAGATCTTGTCTACACTACAGTTTACTCTGTATATCTTATGTCACTCAGGAGTGTGAATAACCCACACCCCTAAGTGGCATAAGTTACACTGACCTAAGAGCCAGTGTAGTCAGCACTATGTCAACAGGAGAGCTTCTCCCTCTGACAGAGAGTTATTAAACATATGGGAGAGCTTTCTCTATCATCTAAGAGTCTTTCCACCATAAGCACTGCAGCAACACAGCTGTAAATATTGTAGTGAAGATATAGCTTCAGAAGAGTGTTTATTCTAGAGGTCAGTCTTGACCCAGGTTATCCTTCCTCCTCACCTGAGAGGTATTAATCCACACTTCTGATGTGCACTGGCTCCTCCACGTCTAGTCCTTTTTTCTGTGGTTGTTTCACAGGGATACCTCCTCTCCCCAATCCTGTTCAATATCTCTAAAAAGCAGCAAGTGAACATTGTGAAGCAGCATGAATTAAAATGTCAGCAAGTTTACTCTCACTTCTACATACTTTTCATATCAGACTCAGATAACACTGTCTTCCACTTCTCCAAGGGCTTGGTTGTGACTGGCAACTGGATGAAGATTAGCCTGTTGAATCCTGGAAAAGCTCAAGTGAGACTGTCTGGGGAATAGAGAAGCACTTTAAAGAATTTGCTTTTATTACATTATCCTCTTAGAGCAGGGCGACTCAACTTTGGAAGCCCCAGGGGCCACAATGATACTCTCAGCACATGCCAAGGACTGGAATTTAAGTGTGGTTGCATCTACATTAAAATATATATACAATATATGTAATAGCTTATTTTACACTGACAGGCATGATTACAAAGCACTTCCCACAATGCCCTGGCACTCCTGGAACCTCCTCCCTGGGGCTAGAAATGCCAACATCCTGTACCTGTCTGTTCTAGCCAGCTCATCCGCTTGCGTCTTTCATTGTTCACCCTGAAAGATGCCTCACAATGTTCAAAGGATTCCACCCACAGGCCACATGTTGAGTAGCCCTGTCTTAGAGGGTGTCTGCCATTTCATAGCCTGGATGTTCACTAGGACTCCTCACTACTTCTGGATATCCAAATAGCCCTGAGCACAAAACACACCCTTTCCCATCTACAGCCTATAAAAGATTGTGGCTTCTCCTGTTGAATTTGGATCTAGTCATAGTGATGCTTGCATACACAGTCACAATCTCCAAGCTTTCTTATTGCAGCAGTATGTATGTAAGTGTGAAACCGCTGATTCAAATTGCCTTTGGGCTTCTGGGTGGAATTCACTATGTTAACCTTTAAAGTCACAAGTGGTTTGAATCTGGGTACCTGGGAGAGCATCTTTCTTCTAGTACCATACTGCTCTAGCTGTTGTCAGCAGGGTAATAAAATAGAGCTCTCACAATACAGCACAAAGGGAGAAACCAGGATCTGAAATATTTGAGATGAACTTTAGTGGAGGTTCTGGCTGCATTTTTCCCCACACTTTCTTATTTATGCCCTTTCTATGTGTTCCCACAAAGCTGTAGAATCTCCTCGTAGTGCTGACCAAGAAGGCCATCTCTCAGTCCAGGCGGAGGAAGCTTAGCAGAGGGGTTCCCTGCAATTGTAGGATCTCTAGGAGTATGTCTACATTTCATTCTACTTCCGAGAGAGGAATGCAAATGCAGACACCCGAAATTGCAAATGAAGTGTGAATTTGAATTTCCCATGCTTCATTTGCATAATCACAGACTGCTACTTTTCCGGAATAGCGCTATTTCAAGATAAAACCCTTCCTTCAAAATAATGCTTACTCCTCAAAAAATGAATAAGGGTTATTTCAAAGGAAGGGTTTTATCTTGAAATAACCCCTTTTTCCCCTTGAAATAGCACTATTCCGGAAAAGTGGCAGTCTGCGATTATGCAAATGAAGCATGGGAAATTCAAATCCATGCTTCATTTGCAATTTCAGGTGTCTGCATTTGCATTTCTCTCTCGGAAGAGGAATGAAATGTAGACATACCCTAGGATCCTACAAACTTCACAGCCATGAAAAATGTGCCACCAACCATAATTGTTGTCAGTGGTGGCAGATGACAGAACAGGGAGCAATGCAATGATCTCAAGTTGCAGTAGAGAGATCTAGATTGGATATTAGCATAACCCGCACACCTAGTGTGGTTCACTGTCCCATGGAGTGGCACTTAGACCACTTATAGTGAGAGTTAAGAACAAGGGAGCTCGGTCGAGCATCATCTGACTTTTAGATCAAATGGTAGAGGTTCCTAAAGTGAGCTCCCAGGTTCAAATCCACCTGGTGGTGGTTACATTAAGAAAAGCTAGTTCATTAGGAAGGTGGTGAAACACTGGAATGAGTTGCTAGGAAGGTGGTGGAATCTCCATCCTTAGAGATTTTTAAGGCCAAGCTTAACAAAGCCTTGGCTGGGATGATTTAGTTGTGGTTGATCCTGTGGGGAGCAAAGGGGTTGAACTTAATGACCTCCTAAGATTTTTTCCAACTATAAAACCCTAAACTCCTATATTTTTTAATAAGACTATGCAAGTAATCAAAATGGACTGTGAATTTGGTAGGGATCTACACCCATCTCACATACCTGGGGATATTTTCCCTGGGTGGCATCCAGTCACTCAAACTCTTCGAAGCTGTGGGCATTATTGGAGGTTCTTTGCTTTGTGTCCTCACCTGATTACCTCATTTTATACCTATAGCCTCACTCCTGTGTGTTTTCCCATTTTTTGCCCCCTACAGTCAGTTGTCTCCTAATTCCTGTGGCCCCTTGCTTATCTGAGGAGGGCAGACCCTCAGTATTCATGTAAGTACCACCAGGTGGATTTGAACCTGGGCCTTCTGGAGCTGAGTATAGGAGTCTCTAACCTCTGAACTAAAAGCCCATTGTGTCTCAGCCCATGCTGCAGAGGTCTCTTGATCTTAACTGTTGCTGTGGTCTAGGTACCACTTGCACTGCTCAGTAACCACACTATGGCTATGTCTACACTGGCGGGTTGTTGTGCCAGAAGTATGCAAATGAGGCTAAGCGTGGAATATCGCCCAGCCTCATTTGAATACCTAATGAGCTGCCATTTTTGCAGAAGAGGCTCTTGCGCCAGAAGGAGCTGTCTACACTGCCCCTTCTTGCGCAGGAAAAACCCTCTTGCGCAATGCTGTTATTCCTAAAAATAATCACCATAGCAGCATTGCGTAAGAGGGTTGCCAGAAGTATGCAAATGAGGCTAAGCGTGGAATATCGCCCAGCCTCATTTGAATACCTAATGAGCTGCCATTTTTGCAGAAGAGGCTCTTGCGCCAGAAGGAGCTGTCTACACTGCCCCTTCTTGCGCAGGAAAAACCCTCTTGCGCAATGCTGTTATTCCTAAAAATAATCACCATAGCAGCATTGCGTAAGAGGGTTTTTCGTGCGCAAGAAGGGGCAGTGTAGACAGCTCCTTCTGGCGCAAGAGCCTCTTCCGCAAAAAAGGCAG